TGTATGGTTGTTACAATATAATTAATTCATTCTCTAAGAAGTAATTTTATCTTCAGAAGACCACATTATTTTATAAGTGAAAAAATAAGCATATTTACTTTATAAATAGATTAATTTTATATTTAATCTTCACGCATTCGGAAACAAATACACGTTTTACAGCAAATGAAATCGTGTTAGAAAATTATATATTTAAAACATAGGTACATATTTGTACAGAAGAAAAATGTTTTTATTATTTATTTATTTATTTATTTTTTTATTTGTATTTAAGCACCTGAAATTAGAATTATAGAATAATAATAGGTTAATCTCAATGCAAGGAAAAGATCGGAGGCATTCCGAATAAATCGTTCATCTTGCGTTCACCGTTCGTTCACCGTTCACTTTGCGCTCGCGTTTGCGCTCCTTTCGCGTTCTGCGTTCACTCACCGTTCACACATCGTTCACCATGTTGCTTTCAGCGTTTGCACATCGTTCACCCACCGTTCGCTCTGCGTTCGTTCAGCGTTCATTCACCGTTCGTTCAGCGTTCGTTCACCGTTCGTTCACCGTTCAGGTGGGAAAGTAGAATGTTTCAGGGACTGTAGCTGTGACTTCACGTACACAAAGAAGCTTGACGGAGCTTAGGGAGACAAACGAGTGTATATTGCGATATATAATTCCTGGGTCTAATATTGCATTATACCAATATATCAATAATATTGCACACCCCAAGTAGTGACAAACTGACAATTTAATGATTTGAACAATCATTATGCCATAGTTACAATGTATTGCCAAGGGTTGAAACTCCAGAGAGTAGATTGTCAAATAAGGAAAGTTTAGAGTATTTTATTTATATTGGCTTTCAAAAGAAAAAATTTTCAATAAAAATTAAAGCAATATGAGCTGTATGTTTGACATCGGAAAAAATGTTGCAAATTTGTAGTTAGCTATTTCAACAACAGAAAAATAGAACATTTATAAACTTCTGTTGTTCATATTTGCTAAGAAAGAACTTTTTATACGCTTTGATTGAAGCAAAATTGAGTTATTGTCGTCCTGTACAATAATGATTTCTTATATAATACTATTCGGTTGTACAGAAATATTTCTTTTGAAACAATTTTAAACTTTATTTTGGTTTTATTGATCATAAGGGTTTAGATTACATACAGATTAATCATATTAACACATTTTACCAGCAAAATAAAATTCTCAAAAATGCAGCTCATATTGCTTTAAATTAAAAGAATCTGCTAGTGAAAAATATCATAAAAATGTATCATCTGAAGACTATCTTCTCTAAAAGATTTGTTAGGGTCATTCAGCAAACATTTAGCAAGAAATTTCATCAAGATTTATTTCTTGTCTGTCTTTATAAACTCCAAAATGATTGATTTTTCATTGTGTGTACAGATTTCATTCCAAATTCTACACTTCTATTACTGTTATTACACGTTAGTTGAATATTGAGCTTGCCTCACGAGCCTCGCTTCACGACACTCACTGTGCTCACTATAAATATTTATGCTTCCTCTTTCCAGCAAAAATTAAATGAACAGTAATCTAGAATACTATAACTTAACACATGTATGTGTTGAAATTGTTGTTTATTAAGGCTTGATATATTTCAAGCTAGTATATACAAAAACCAAAATGTGACAAGCAAACACGGCCGGTTGAGACCAATTAAAATTTACATGCATTAGCAAAATGTACAAGTCGCGACTTACAAACCTGTTTATTAGAAGTTTTGTAACTACAGTGCCCACTGTCCAATCCGACGACTGTGCAATCCGGCACACTGGCATTTCCGACGCAAAACTTCATTCCCCAAAAAATCTTTATATAACTTATGTAGAAAAATACTTTACAATCCGACCACTGTACATTCCGAATTTCGACACCTTTTTGTAAACACAGCCTATTAATTGCATTTCAATTTTACCTGTGTTATCCGACATAATTACACGGCTCGTTAATTAAACCCCAGGTAGGTATACCATAATTAGCTGCTGGCCAATTACGGGTCCCAGCTGTGATTTTAAAGTCCCATTTGGTCAATTGGTCATCTGAATATGTAGTCAGTGATTCATGCTGAAGTTTGTAGGTGTTTTGTTTATGTACACAATAAATGAACAAAACTCAAATTAAAAAAAACGTAAATAGCATTTGGGTTCGCCTCATACAGATTGACAATAACGTGTGTCAAAAACTAACTCAGACTGGCATTAAAAAATGAAGACAGTTTAAATTGTAATTCATCTCACTAACGACACATAAAATATGCTTTTGGAGAACTTTTTTGAAATAACAAAGAATATCAGGTATCGATAACGTCTTAATCAGGATTCTGTGTTCAACAGATAAAATTATGGTTTAGAAGTTTCCGCAAGTATTACCTCTCAACCAACTCTCTTTCGCGGCCGGAAATGCGAGCGTTTCGTTTACGTAGCTCTTTTCTAAGCGTGGATAAATCCCACGACCCATAATCGGCCAATATATCTTTAAAATTTAATTAAAATAGCAAGGAACACAAGGTCGAAATTACGTTGGCACTCTCTAAAATTGGAAGAACGAAAAGTCACGAACTTAAACGTGTCATGCGACACCTATATAATTCAGGGACGATAATGTGCAGTTTTATTTGCAATTGCTAAGGACACCCGATATTTCGAAAGTATTCCGGTGCCAGACAACTCACCGAAAGACAGGTCACCGACAAAAGATACATAATATTATCCAGTATCTTGCAACTCTGACAGAAGAGACTTTAATGAAACAGCGACTTAACAAAAACAGACAACAATTGACACTTTATTCACTAAACCTCAGGAACTGTAACTAACGTTATACGTTGCATTGTTTATTGTCTGAAACTGTAAATAGAAATGTACCATGCCATTTAATTATTTATTGAAAAAATATCACATCTTCATGTAAAAATCTTTCATATGAAATAATTATGGAGGCCACGATTAACCATGTACCTTTTACTGATAATGTTGGATCTAATGCCATACTTGACAAATTGTGACAGAAATAGCCAACACTGAGTAATCCGACACACTGTTTAATCCGACATAAATTCTATTTCCCATGGCATGTAGGATAAGACAGGTTTCACTGTATAACCATTGCAAACACAATAAGTGGTATAATACATCAAAATTATCTCTCAGCCTCCTCTACAAAACATGTCTACTGTCTTACAAATGTATAAAGTGATGCTAACTCTCAACCAATCAGATTGCAGCAATGAACATGAGGCTCCCGGTGGGGAAAAATTGCAGAGGCCCTTGTAATGACTTACAGTTACTAATTTACTATATAAACAATATATATGTTGAACATAACACAAATACGAACACAACTTGCAATATTAAATCATTCTTCAGCATAAAACTGTTTACTGTCATAAATGATATGTATACCTTATTGGTATGTCAAAAAGTAAAGGTATGCAGGCTCTGTAATTTACCCTCTGCTCAACTCGCTTGATTACATGGCTTGTTCTTTGAAAATAAAGCTTCACCTACCGATTTTTCTGCACCGGACGTCTCGGAACATTGATTACTTTTTGTAAACAGTCAAGGGCATAACTTAAACAAGTTATCTAAAAAAATAACTCAAATGAGTTATTTTTTTGTCTCAGTGAGTTACTTCTCTTTGCTATGATCTACTGTTTCCAAGCCTTAATAACTCAAACACATTATTTTTCCAAAATAGCTTCAATAAAATAATAATTTGTTTAGTTATTTTGTGTCATTCCTCCCTAACTTTACACCCCGTGCACCAAAGGATTTTGCTTGTGCACCAAGACAAAAACAAATGTTTGACTAAATTTAAACCTTGCTCAATGCAGAAAAAGTGTTCAAAGTCTTGGGAAAAGTGGGGAATTTTTTTTATTTAATGATAAAAATTGGACATATACACCATGAGGATAAAACGACAAAATAAGGAGTAAAATGCTTTTATCTCCACCTCCTCACCAATTCTCTATTGGAGTCGGTGAACTCCATCTAGTATTACATAATGGAATCCCAAAATGCAATGCAAATTGGTAGGAAACACAAAATTTCCAAGAAATCAATGTCCAAGTAGGATATAAAAATAACTTATTTAAGTTATTTTTTAAAAAAAAATTGTTTGTGTAAAGTAATGTAAAATAACTTATTTAAGTTATTTTTTTTTATAACTTGTTTGAGTTATGCCCCTGACTGGTAAAAACCCTCACATCTTTCTAATAATTTATGAAACATGATTACCGGGTTACACTTTTTCAAACTTTTCGATAACGTGCCTGAAAATAAGTGCAAATATTAAAACTCGATTCAAAATGACAAATTCCGGCCATTCGGACACTCCAAATTCTAGAGGCATTCCAGGAAAGAAGAAGGTATGGTTTCAGCCTTATTGTGCCCCAAAAATGTATTGTCATCAAAAAGTCTTGAAACAGGCTAAAATATTAGTCAAGTATATGACTGTGATAAATCAGGAAAATCTTTGGTCACAAAGGATTATCATTCTGCAAAATATGACATCATAAATGTGATGCGAATCTAATCTGTATTTTTAACAGAAAAACCCTCAAACTAGCCAATTTCAAGGGTGGTTTTCCTTTAGTAAATAGTGTCCACATGCATCACCCACTTTTATTTTTTGATATATTGTGAAAAAAAAAAAAAAAACGATAAAAAATCACATATCTACAAATCTTTGTGGGCGATGCCTGTGGACAACATTTTCTGAAAGAAAATTCCACTGAAAATTAGTATCTTCTGCAACTTTTGAAGAAAAAAACGGGAAAATGCCCATGTTTATGACGTCACAATTAGCAATTAAAAACACATGTGAGAAATTTGATTTGTATGATTTTTCTGTATGGAATTTCAATGATTCAGAAAGCATTAGTTTTCATCTTTTACACCAGTTTCAATTTTTTTTTAAAATCACAGGGCAAGAATTGTATGGAAACCATACCTTGTTCTTTAAATATAACTTGAATTCTCCAAGAACCATTTATAACCTTGACAGGGCCTTTCAATACCCTATCACAGTTCATGAAACATTTATTAAATTTATTGAATTTCAGATAACCATGGCAGGTTTGGTGAAGATGTACAATGACCTCATGGAAAAGGCTGGTAGGTTTTCACAGTTTTATTCATTTAATAGGAGACAACTTAATATTAACAAGAGTTACAAATAGTGCAAAGACAAACAAATTAAAAGTGATTTGTACTTGTTTGAAAATTCATGATGTATTGAGGCCCTGTAGTTTAAGTTTTAACTAAACTGATTGAAATATATCTTTTGTCGTTGTTGTTGTTAGTGACATTGTTGTAATTTTTTTTTCACATTTCATCTCCTTAAGCCAGAATCAATGGGCCATTTGCAATCAAACTTGGAAAAAAGTATTCTTGGGTAAAGTGGATTCAAGTTTGTTCAAATCAAGGGTTCCACCCTTTTTCAAAAGAAAGATTATTAAGAAATAATTTTGTTTTTATTCTAGTCTCTCATTGGTTGATTACCAAAAAGGAACGCAAATTATTTCTTAATAACCTGGTTTGGTATGGGGACACACCCCCTTGACAACCAGCTGAATCATCTGTATCCATACAATCCCCCCTTTTCCAATCCTTGGAAATCTTGGGAAATTCCAGATTAAATAAATGTACCTTTAACTTCAAACAGTAGCTCGATCTTACCTCGTGTACACAAACATCATGGCTGCTAGATCTGTATATCAGTTATTACCTCCCCTTGTTTCATAATACTTCCGTTACTAGGGATGTATTATTGAGCGGTAAATTTGAACTCATAAAAAGCAACACAATTTTACACCCACAGTTGTTTAATTATTTTAAAATTAAATTATAAGGAATGACTCTAATTCTTGGCCAAATTATTCGATGATAACCTGGTTTGGGTCAGTTTACGCTTTTTTATAATCCGCTTCGCGGATTATAAAGCGTAAACTGACCCAAACCAGGTTATCATCGAATAATTTGGCCAAGAATTAGAGTCATTCCTTAAATACTGTACTGTTCAATGCCCAGAGAGAGATTGAGAAATTGTAAATGCGTATATGTCTTTATTCAACTTCATTCATAGGAACATTCGCTCATAGGTTTCATCATATGTCATAGTTCTCATACAATCCATAATACATCATCACATGACTGACATCATACGATTCATCATACGTTCATCATAAGTTTCATACGGTTCATCATACGTTTCATACCGTTCATCATACGTTTCATACGATTTACTGTAAAGTAAATAAACAAAATTGTAAACAAAAAATTCTTGTAACACAATGCAATACCAATAAACAGAGACAATTCGGACTAGAAAATTGGCAGTGCCAAGGCAATTCAGACTAGAAATATATGCCAGAATATATGCTATCAATATCACAAACCCAAAAATGATACTTTATAAGTTAACGTTCTATATATTACTGAGTATGCATAAAAAATGTCTAACTTTCAAAATTGGTGTTTACAAACGGAAATGAGAGTTATCGCCCTTGCGATACACAGTTTAAGCCTAATGCATTTAACACCTATCCTAAACAACAGATAAGCAGACCTATCAATGAATGTTATAAATAGTTTCAAAATATTGTGTTCAATATAATAAATCTATAAACATGATGAATATAGCTTTACATTAGAAGTAATGATTATCCAATATGCTCGACTATGTAGACCATTATCGAGTATAAAAAATACCGATTCATAAATAAAATACAAGAAATGCATACAAAATTACAAATACATATGGGTGTGCTGGTGTTTGAATAATTGGCTTACCGAATAAGTAGTTTTTTCCCAATTCCAGAGATGCATTGAACAAAAGAACAGACCAGGGAACGATACCTTCCATCGAATGTCACTGCTCGTGCAGTACTCAAGAAAATAATGTGTACTTAAAAATTCATGACGTAATACACATGACATAATGGCGCTAAAATTTGAACATGAGCAAAATGGCTATAACAAATACATGTAGTGAATATTGGTTGGGATCATTTAAAATTCTTTTTCTCAAGAACAACTATAGGCAACAAGATATATTTATCACACATTTACCCCTTTATCCCATGGATATCACTCTTTTGATATTTCATTTCATATCCCACTGCTTTGATGTCACCATATGACTTGCCATTATGTGGTTGACAGAAATTTTTTTTACAAAATGGTGTTCTGTATGGACTCTTATTTCAGAATGTTTTGGAGCATACTCTTAAATATATTGTAAACTCAACGTTCAACAAGTCACTGAGATATTGACATATTACGATGTAGAATGCTAAAATTCTATTGACTTATAGTAGTTTTTCATTTTAGACTATTTAATATTAGCTTTATATTACATGAAATTAAAACAGACTAAAAAGAAAATATGAAATCCGAAGAGGATATGTAAATAATAATCTCACACAGATGAATTCCTACAAATACCTGACACTTAGGTAATTAAGGGATTCCATTGAAAAACACCCTGTATTCTCATTTGTGTAGCTGTTTTTATATAGTTGTATGGTTCTTGTCTGAGAGATTGTTGGTATGAGTATAGAGCAGCCTGGAGGTTCCCTGTCATCTGTTGACAGATCCCCAGAATCTGCCACGATATGTCTCTGAGACGTGTATCTAAAATATGGCTATGATAATAGTGAACTAGGGTCTGTAGATCGTCTAGAGCTGCTTGTACTCTCATTGTGTCTACGTGTCTGAAGCACAAGATCTCTAGCATGTATAATAGTATCAAGGGTGGGAAATATAATGTAGCCCCCCCCATTCTGTAGAACAGACAGTTGTTCTGGTATTAATTCATTGATGTAACGGATGTCATTGTCAAGTCTGATATTCCCTGTTAAAGCCTGTCTCATCTTTGTAAACCAGGACTGTCCCCCTACAGCCTCAGTATACATCTCTCTATCTACAATATACCCATGCATCACATATGGCTGTGCTAACTTGTCCTTGATCATCTGTATAATAGATAAAGCTTCCATGTATCTTAAAGTGTCTTGTAGTAATACATGGCTCTGTATAGCATGTCAGAAATACAACCAAACTTGGCTGTTAATTTCAGCATGTGACAGGAGATTTTGTCAGCTCTATACCTAAGTTTGTTTTTATGTGTGTAAGTTTCCATGTGTAATATAAAAGCATTTTCATTAAGGACATTAGCTGTAAGTCTCTGTAGCATCATGACTTGATACTGTGTCAGGAGGGGTGAACCTATCATGTGTTCTATTACATGTAGATACTTCATACAGCTTTGTGTGTTCACTTTGTATAATGCACTGTAATAGCGTAATATTTCACTATATAGGTTTTCATCAAACTCAGCCTCAGAAATCAAAGTATGATCGTCTGTACAGATGGAGAGTCTGGGCTTATGTAGGACATTTATAATATAAGGGCTAATGGAGGGACTGTGTAGCAGGATTGCTAAACCCTTCTCATACAAACCATATAGTCTTATAAATAATTGATGTTGTTTAATGCCACGGATTTTACTCAGAAAGATGTTGTTATCTGGAATGAAAAAGTTAGGACAGACCCCCTCATACACCCATTTGAGGATGAGTTTAAAACAGACCCAGAAACACCCCAGGAGATTTTGTGGACACCAGTGATGTATTGTATTTTGTTGAATCACCCAGAAAACTGCTGTCTTCATGTGATAGGAACACAGTAATTTATCATCTTCATCCAGTCCATTGTTAATTATTTCTGTTAAGAACAATTTAAGTAAGCCATATGTTAAAAATTGACAGTGGTTCATTGCATGTACAAGTTTTTGTTCTGCCAGAGAGAAAGAAATTCTCCATTCATGATCTTCATGTCTTCCTAGCTTATGTCCAATTGCTACAAAATGACATCCATTTTTCACTATATCATCAACAACATGCGGCTGGGGCCATGAGTGACATCTGTCTATCCATGAGGAGGCAGATGGAGGCCAAAAGTCACAAACAAAACAGTGGGCAGTATCATATTCTAGTGTTCTAAATGTTCCACTGGCACAGGGTCCATGTTGAGTTGACGTCCTTATTGATGTAGAACACGCAATCTGCCTGTATATAGAACTAGATATATAATGTCTGTTATACATTTTAAAACAAGCTCTAGAGATTCCTGATCTGTTCATGTTTAGTGACGGTAAATATAACAAAGTGAATCCTGGTGGACTATCAGAACAGTCACAGAGGATCAGTGTTTTTCTGTGTGTGTTGTAATACTGAGACTGAGATAATTCCCAGATCACACGAAGATCATTTAGCCAGAACATAAAGTCTATATCTGATCCTTTCAGTCTGAATCCTTCTCTGTAACTTCCACTCACCATCACACTGAACCCATCACTTGTTTTCACTTGATTTTCCACCATATCCTTGATGTCCACCACATCTCTCCTCATGGACACCAGTTGGGAAGTCCCTACTTTATGACACAGTCCCACAAACACTGACTCTGTTATGTGTTGTATGGCTGTCTTACTACAAAGTTGATTAAAGTGGAATTTATATTCTTGTCTAATTAATGTTTCACTTTTGTAAATCTATAATATAATTATCATAACTGAGAAACTTATTATATTATTATGTTTTATTTAAAAAAAATTGTAGACATTGTATATTTTTTCTTAATAATAAGATTTTATTTTACATTCATAAATCATAAAATAAAAAAATTCCTGAACCGATCAATAATTTTTCAAATTAACTATGAATCATTCATTTTTGTTAAATAGTAAGTGAAATACATAAATAAAAGTGTCTTATTTATAATTAGATTAATCATGTTAATTACTTTTTAATTGATGTTTTTAATACAGTGCATAAAAAATTAAAATCAATTTTACTGTCATTAAATTACACAGATTCAGATGGAGTTATACATTCCTGTCATTAAAACTTACATTTGTGAGCTTCTAATGGAGTCCATTTTGACTGAAAAGTTTCAGTTGCTATAAATGAAGTAAAAAATCACAATATATCTACTTTCCTTTTATAAATAGGACTTGATATTATCTTTACCTTTAAAGCCGCTTAATCCGAAACAGAAACATATTATCTTACACAATAAAAGTGCCTCATTACATAGATAATGTATAAAAA